GAATGTGTATCTCTTAAGGATTGCAGCCAAGTTGTTGATCTTGTTTCAGTGAAAGAGGCGCCATTTGCAGGAACCTGATCATTCTGAACTTTGTCATTCTGACCTCTCTTTTCGTTCAGCTTAATCAAATTCTGTGATGGCCAGCTGGTCCTCTTATGTTGCTCTCGTCCCTGTCTTTTTTTTTTTTTTAATCGGACCATATTACAGACACCTACCAGTACTTTTCCAATAGACCCACTGAGAAGCTTCTACCAGTTGTCTTTAGGATTTGAGACATTGTGCAAGTAATTGATTTTGTTTCCTTGTCTTTTTAGAAAACCAGTTATTGGACCTTTTAGCTTGTGTGTGTCTGCACAGAGACTTATCAATTGTGTCTTGGTGTGATCAAAACATCCAGGTCGATAGGCAGGTTAATAAGCTGCTTTTGAAGCATACCTTTCACATAGCTTTTTAGCAAGTGAACAGCTCCATTGGAGCCAAAATATATCTGGGCAAGACAACTTCCTTCTCTCATGGCTTCCCACTCTCCACCCCTCCCCATCCCACCTTCCAATCCTGGAGCCTCTTTTCTCCGACACAAAGCTGCTCAGTTGTTCATGAATGTCAGCTCAGTGCTGCCAGCACGCTCTACCCCCCACCTTCTTCCCTCCCTCCATCCTCCTTCAGTCTGTCTTCTTCCCTTACTCCTTATCTCTCTCCCATACTTCTCTTAGTGTGCAAAGGAAGAACGACTGCAAATGAGTTTCTTGAACCACAGGGACCCCAATAAATAAAACTGTCAGCTAGAGATGTTGAAAGGAAGAAAAAAAAGGTTGGTGGAGGGGTAGAAGCCAGAGGCAAACTCTCGCTGAATATTTTATCACCCACCAATAACACCACCACTGCTCTTGACACGCTACCCCCATTGCCCGCATCCGCCATCCCCCTTCACCATCTATGTTCCCTCATGCCATCCTCCCCCTTTTTCTCTCTCGCTCTCTCTCTCTTTCTCCATCTTATCTCCACCACTCCTCCCCCAGCTGCCCCTTATCATATTCGCCTCATTATTGCATAGCAACTACAGCTTCCTGCTAAACAAAATACCACCTCCTGGACACCAAGGGATAAAACGAAACGGTTGATGGCACTGGTTCTGGTGTCAGTTGTTAAAGAGGTTGCTGTGGCATCTATTGAATTCTTTTTCTCTATACCAGCATAGTTTTATTTATGGTGCATGTTAAAAACTAAACCTGTCCATGTAGATTTTAGTGGGTATAATCAACCATGTATGGTGTTAACACAAAGAATCCACCTGCATTTTCAAAAAGGAACTCCTTTACATACCATTGCTTCTGCATTAGAAAGAGAACAATGATGGGCTGGCTTTTCTCTGCCTCTCTTAGCACAACAGCAGTGGGGCCCTCCACTCTTCTTGTCTTGTGACTATCATAACAGTCTAATACAAATAGCCATAGAGTGAGCAAGGGGGAAAAATGGAGGAGGGTTTGAGACTGAAAAAGAAGCCGTGAAGCTCTCCTTTGTTTGTCTGTGATGTTCCAGAAAGCTCTATCTTGGTGTTTGTCCTGACGTCAACGGTGGCCAGCTACACTAGCTGTCTTGGCTGTGCTGTTGAGAGCAGACAGGCATGTTTGGACTGGAGCTGAGCTGCTAGCCGAGACCCCTGGGAATCATTTGCAAGCCAGCTCTCCAGCACCAGAGATACAACCCCCCTTCCTTTCTTTCACACAGACACACACACGTACACACATAGACATACTCTCCTATGCATTTCCTCCTGTTGTTTCTCTCATATTCTCTGTCCATCTGGAAAAGGCCTGTTGTTACACGATCACTTGCCAATCTAGCCCCTGGCAGGCAGGCTGTACTCTATCATCCTCCGCCTCCTTCATTCTCTTAGGAGACAGGAACTATTTCAGGTGTTCCACTCCACAGCTTCCAGCCTTACAAGCGGTTTATTCTCCTTTGTGTGTGTGTGTTTGTCTAATCCCCCCCCCCCCTTTTTTTTTTCCTCTGGATTTTAAAATAGTCAGAGAAACATGTTTTGAGAGTCAAGAATTTTAAACATTAAGTTTTATTGTGGCTCTTTCTGTTCGTCCTTTGGGGTAAGTGAAAGATGACCACAAAGATACAGGACAGGGCCATTCAGATAGTTTTCTAGACGAGTCTATCATTTTTCTCTGCCGAAGAGATGTATATGTTAATGTGGGTTTGTGTCCTTTTAATTTCTTGCCTGAAGTTGAGGTTGTGGTGGGTGGTGTGTGTATCTACAGAGACCCCTTGTGACTCAACACTTTTAGCTCTTCTGCATATGAGAATTAACACAGCCTGTGTGCACAACTTCCAAACTGACTTTATGAGTCAACAGCTGAGTTTTTGAGTGACAAAAATTCAGTGGAGTAGGAAAAAGAAGAAGGAATAAACAAGGTGCAAGGAAGAAAGCTTGCTTTCTCACAGGCTAATTTGAAGCCTTCCATGTGGTGTTGTGAGCTCAGTAGGAGTGCATGAATTTCATCTTGGTGGTTTTGAATAATCCACACTAGTCATTATAAGTGTAATCAAGCCTCCTCTTTGTTTCTCCTGCTGTCACTCAGTGTCATCTATTTTCTCTCACTTTCTCTTGCCTGTGCTTGCAAATACTCAAAAATTGAAAGGAATAAAAACGGAGGGAAGGAAACCAAAGTCACTGTTTAGACTTGGCGTTAAATGGCATCTAAGATGGTCCTTTTTGGGAAAGTGACTATGGTCAAAATGCTCCCACTCTCTTTACGTTTCAGCAGACAAGTTTGCATGCCTGACGCACACATGTACACGTACCCAAGTTCAGTGTGATCCTCTCCTTCTAAACACAACAAATTAAGCACATCTTTAAAGCAGTGGACATTGATGTTTCCGTCTTGAATAAAATTTGTGCAGCAATTACTTGAAACAAACTTTCATGCACGATGTGAAATGAAAACTGTCTCAACTGGACTTGGGCTCAGTATGGATTCATGTAGATAAAGAATCCAATACGTTATCAGGAGCATAGACAAATACTCACTCCTCAGCCCTTCCTCCATCCCAACATACTTTTTAAAACGGTTTAATTTATTGCCTCCCTGGTGACAAGTGTTGGCAAACTGTTGACTCATTCTTCTGACAGCTGTCAGTCATGACGGTCATTGCCTAATCCCCCTCCTCCTCTTTTTTTCCCCTCTTTCCCTTCAGTAACCCTCGGAGCCCCCCCCCACCCCCCCCCCCCCCCCCCCCCCCCCCCTCACCAAAGCACCTTACGTCTCTTATCGCTATTTTGCCTTCAATACC